AGCACATGAATTGAAATACTATTAAAATTAAGTAAAATTAAAATTACAAGTAAAATTATTCTAGCCCACTTTTAATGTAGATTCCTCTCCATACAAGATAAAAATTAGACAAAGTGGGTAATAGTTATTTTTAATCAGCTCATTAATGACATTTAAATGTGGGTTTTAAATTGTCTTTTAATAAGCAATGGCCTTCATGAAAGGGGATTCTGTATCATTGTGTTGCCATCAGCGATCTGTTTTTACTCAAGAAATAGATTAAGGCTGGCTGGGACATGCTTGGGAGTTAGAAGACTTTGTATGTAGAAGATGGAGATCCAAAGGAGATGTCTACAAGTCTCCAAAGCTGGAGGGTTATGGGGCATCCTATGCATAGCAGGAACAGCACAGAGGCCTCTGCACTCTCCCATAGAATCCAAATGATCCTATGGCCCTCTAGGTGCTGTTGAATGGCCACAGGATCCCTCTGCCCAAAGATGTTCCAAAATATACCTAGGCTTTGTCTTTTATCCAAAAGAAACTTTGAGATACTGTAGTATTTTTTTTCTAGGCTAGTTAATCATTTAAAGGCTTTGGGACATTTTGTACATTATGCAGGGCTTACCTGGTTCAGATCCAAACCGTACCCATTCGTCGCATGCCTATATTTATTTATTTATCGCACTGAAGCTTTCTGGGTGATCCACTGTATGACACATGCATATGCAAAGAGGCACTACCACATTTTACATATTTGGAAGTACCTTTCATACATAATGGTGTCCTTGAAATGCAAATGTATACTTAAAAACTTAACGATGAGTGTTTATTTAACTCTCTTGATGTAATAAATTGTGGTTAATATTGGACTGAAAATATGCATCATGCCCTATCTGTTCCTTCCTCCTCTCTTTTGCACATAATGCAAAGCATATATCTATCTATCAAACAAACAAACAAGCCCATTATATATGAACTGGACAACCATGGTTGAGAGTCCAAATATAATCCTGGCTTGCAAATCAGGATGAAACTGTGCTTTGCATCCCTGGTTGGTAAATCAGAGCTTATGAACCCAATCTAATACCAAAGATCATTTGGCTAAAGGACTTGTTTCACAGACATAATACATAGCACACTGAGGTCTTAATGTGTCACTAGAAGCCAAATATGTTGAGGATCCATTCGAGTGAATATATGAATCCTTCCACACTGGCTCCACCGGGTTTGTGTGAGTGTGTGATGGGGTGGTGGGTGGGGGCCTCTGTCACCCACCCAAATGCTGCAATGACAGGAAAAGCCACAATCTTCCAAATTCTAGATCTTACCCTAGAAGCTTCCTGCCCCTTGTCCTTTATATTAAAGGCAAGTGCACTCTATCACTAATGATAATCATTGAAGAAGTGGCACTGACTTAGAACACCTGTTACCATACTGGCAGCTCATCAGGAGCCTGAGGCCAAAGGCAAAATAGAGACATCATATTTGCATATCAATTGACAAATATATTACATGAAATTCATGCTGCATTTGCACGGCTAGCTTTTCTTTCTTTCTTTTTTTTTTGGTTGCTGTTTTAGCATTGAATCTTTAAAACATTATGTTTGCTTGTGCCCATATAGTTATATGAAATTCAAGCTCTGCAAATTATTCCTATATAGTTATAAAATTAAATTCTAGAGGAGCACTGGGCTGTTTTGATTCTCTCTCCCACACACACCCATGCATGCACAGTAGCAGCAATACCTACATCAAAAGGCATTGTTCCTTTTAACACCCAAACCTGCAAGCAATACATGCAAATAGTATTTGTACCCATTTCCAATTCAGCATACGAAATCACAGTGAAAGCCATTTTCACTCTTGTGCATTTAAATCCATGCATTTCTGTTCACAAATGCCTTGCCCTTTGGCCTTTTAGGATTCATTTAATTTCATGAGTGATTGAATGTAGCTGTATCACAGAAAAGTAACTTTAACGTAAAATGTGAACAACACTTTTGTTAACCTTTGGGTGTGATCCTGTAATTGAAGAACTGCTGCTGAGGGGCTACAGGATTTGGCAGAAGACTTGCTATACTACTTGAATGCCGCATGCACCATTGTCACAACAGGTGTACATTGGAACATACACCATTCTTCATCCATGAACGTACAATAGGGAACAATCATGCACCAGATGAGGAGGGCATGATAATGGCACACACAGGATACTGAGTACATCACTAACATGTATCTGCTTAGGTGCCTAACAGGTTCTTCTCCTTGATGAAACTGGGGCTGTGCATTTTGGGAACATCATGAAAAGGCAAGCCTCACTAGAGAAGACAATAATGCTAAGGAAAGTCAAAGGCAAACAAAGAGCACAACCACCTATGCGATGCCAGGATTCCATAAAAAGAAGCTAGAGCCTTGCATTGGCAGCAGCTTAGGGAGGCTGTGAAGGACAAGATATTTTGAAGTATTCATTCATAAGGTCACCTTAAGATGAAGAGATTTTGATGGAATGTAATAACAATGCTTCACCTTGGGACTTCAGACACACAATACTCCACTCCAGCAGTTGAGAATACCAGGACATCATTCCACACAGATAAACAAGGGAAGAGAGGAATCATGCTACATGTTCCTGCTACTGCCCTCCATTTCTTGCCTAACCCGTTGCCATTTGTGAATAGAAGGTCTTGTCTGAACTCTATTGCTCTTCACACTCCCCCTTCCCCCACTCAGAAAGCAGTGTTCCCCCTACAGAGGAGCACTCATCCTAACATGTAGATAAGCCCCATTGCCCACCCACAAGAGAACTGATGCTTGAGAACTGTATACGTTTTGCTTGTTTCCTCCTCTGCCCCCTCTGTTCCCCTGCATCTTCCCAGCATGGGACACTTTTGCTTATTTTCCCCTAGAGCAGCCAAACAGTGGAACCACAGTTTGGAAGGGGTCTCTCAGTTTAGCTGAAATACTCACAGCCACCATGGTGATGAGCAGTCTTAATTTTCGTAGCAACAACAGCTGTGAGTTGTCCCTGTTGAAAAGTAGTGTGCCAGGGGCTGATTTGGTCTTGGGTGGATAATTAAGATCCAACAGCTTTACAAAAGATCAGCTCCTGAAAGAGCTGGCTTGTTGATATAAATCAGCACAGCACCTTTTCAGCGACAGGGAATTACTATAGGGACTGTCATGAACACCTGCATGTAAAAATATACTATTATACCACTATCTGGAAGTATTGAAGAGCCTCTGGGGACTCCCATGCCTTTGTTCTTGCAATGGTACCAACCACCCCATCTCAATAATTATGGCTACCAGGATATTGTGGAGACAGGAAAAGAGAAAACAATTCCCATATGGAAACGGACTGCGTTTCTGCTTTGCAGACTGTACATGGAAATCCTTTACATGGGACAGCTGCCAGGGTTTTTTCCTTCCACTGAAGGTGGGGAAAGATAAACTGTCCTGCCCATGGGGAGGATTAGAACCAGAAACCTCAAGAGTGTGCATGAACAGACAGCACCGCAGGGCATCCTTGACTGCACCTGCTGTTTCTTGGGCATGGGGAGGACACACTTGGCCTGCATGAATTGGCTGCCACTCTGTCCCTGGATGTGTTTGCCATGGTCAGCCAGGTCCCCAACTGTGGTGGGATTTAGTAGTGTTTCCAGAGAGGAGTGTTTTGATTATGTTTTGTGTAGAGTTTTCCCCTGCCCCAGTCATTTTGCTGGTGTATCTCTAGCCCCATATAGTTTGAGTACGGGATTGTTCTGCCTCTCCCGAAAGGTAGAATAGTAGTAAATTTAGGGCACAATTCTGTGCATGCTTATAAAGAGAAAAGTCTCATAACGTTCACTATGTTTTGGTACCCTGCAATGGCTGTCTGGGGAATGTAATAATTCTTTTTCTTGCTCTTAAAACTTGGATGGGGTTGCACCCTTAGTAGTCACTGCCTCTTGCTATTGGTTCATCTTGCTTTCTGTTAGTCAGTGTTGCTTGCACAGCCCTATGTGGCTGTGTCATCCAAAAGTGGAAGTGATGGCAGATGTGAAAAAGATGGCAGTGCAAATCCCATCCAGTCTTGCTGGGTGGGAAAAGATTTCGTAAATAGCTTTTCACTTGCTTAATGTGTGTAAAATGGCATCACACAAACATCTACTCTGTTTGTTTGTTTTAAAGTTGGAAGCCTTAAAAAAAATCTGGCTCATTCAAAAGTAAAAATATGTTGCAAATGAAATCTGTTTCAGCTTGGGACACAAAGCACTGCAAGGGACTGAAAAATGGGGTATGCATGCAACCGGTGCTTGACAGTTATTCGGCAACGCATCACAGTGACCTTACCAGCCAGTCACTGAGACGAGTGTGTGATTTTTGGGCGTGCCCGGTGCGCTTACCTTGGTTTATGGAACAATGAGAAGGGAGCTGTTAGGGGTGGGGTTAGCGTCCTTGCATCTCTCTGAGTGGCAGAGAGGCTGGAAGCAGACAGAGTTAGCCCGGAATCGGATTATAAACCCCTTTGAACTGTCGCTGCTTTCTTGCTTTAAACACCTGAGATGCATGAGAGGACAACCTGAGCGGCCAGCTGCGCCGGATGCCTTTTACACAGGTGCGCTGCAAGTTCGAGACCGCCCTCCCCCGAGGTCGCCTGCATCCCCTTTAGGAGGGGTTCTCCGCCGCTGGGGAAGGGGGGGGGGAGAGGGCACGGCGACGGGACGGCCGCGGATGCTGCCGGCTGTACCCCGTGCAAAGGCTGCTTCTTTTCACAGATAAGTCTCCCTTTCCCCTCCCCACCCCCTTTCCCTAAGAGGCTGGTTCAATTGCTCATGACGTGCCTCCCTCGCTGAGATCCCTGCCCTCCCGCTTTCCAGCTCGCTCATTCCAGCCTCCCGCTGCAGCTGCCTTGCATTATATTCCCCCTCCCCCCCGCTGCCGCTTTCCGAGACAGCCCGATTCATTTTTCTTGCTGCTGGAGAGCGAAGAAAACAGCGGGGGAGCAAGCGGTCGCTTTCATTCCCGCCTCCCATCTATTTTTCGACCCGCATTTTTTAATGTTAGCCTTGCAAGGAGGCTGTGGGAGCCCTTGATTCTCCGCGCCAGATGAACGTCTCCTTGGGCACTTGGACGCCTTGACTCCGGATTACTCGGGGGAGGAAAAAAAGGTTAGCCATGGCGACGATTTCCCATCCCCGGCATCCTTCCCCTTTCCCTTCCACCTACTCCGATGGCACCGTTTGCCTTCGCGTCGCCTCGCCGCTTGCCTGCCGCCCGGATCGAGTCAGGGGCGATCGGGTAGACGCCCCAACTGTGGCTGTAGCTATGCGGAGCCAGACAGGCAGCGAGATCACGTGGAGGTCTCTATAGAGTTCAGCGCTTGGGGGGGGGGGTCGGGGGTGTAAAGAGAGAAGGAGGGAGGGAGATCGGAGAGGACGGAGGAGATCGGCGCGCGCGCGCCTCTGCCGGCGTGATCCCGCGGACTTCTGCCTGCGCCTCCCTCGCCGTGCCGCTCTCGCTGGCGACCGTGTCCAGGTGACATTTTCTTTCATTTGTCATATGCTCGGCTTGCATTCCTCTCGGTCCTCATCCCACGCCGCCTTTTCGCGTGTGCAGCGCCCCCATCTTCCTCCCTCGCGCAAGAGAGGGGTGTGTTCCTTTCTTTCCCCTTACGACGAATCAGCGCCTTCCCCCGCGCCCTCCCGTCTCCTGCCTGCCTTTGCTGCTGCGTGCTAGAAGCGGGCGGGGAGGAAGAGAATCCGAGCCAGGCATTCAGGTGTAGTGGCCGTGCCCTGTTGATCTTCTTCGCCTTCACAAATGAAAATAAAAGCAGTCTACCTTTAAGGTTTCCCCAAGTTTTTCCTCCTCCTCCTCCTTCGGGCTGATGCCTTCTCTTGTCCTCGCTCCGATTGGCATTCTTGCTTGCTTGCAAACCTGGAGGTTTAGGAACGGGTGGCGAAGTGCGTTTTGTGTTAAGAAAGCGAGCTGGCCAAGCGGCTGTTGGCTCGTTTTTGGCTCAGAAAGCCGATCAAAGGGCGACTCTTCTGTTCCTGCCCCCGTGTGTGTGTGCCCATTTTTTTTCCTGCGAGGGGGGCGGAGCTGTGCACAGGTTGTGTGTGTGTTTTAAAGCAGCCTGCCGTGTAACGTGAAATACAGTCTTACTAATCCGTGGAGGAGCTCGGAGCAAGGCAACGTGTGTATGTGTGTGCGTTGCATGCGTCTCTTTCAATCGAGTTCGCGCGAGCCGAGAGAACTAGTTTCCCAGATCCACCCGACTTGGTCTAGTTTCCTTTCAGGCGAAAAAAAGAGGGAGTTGTGGGTAGGCTTGTGCTGAAAGGTCTCGCTTTCTGCGAAGGGCGTTGCTCTCCGCCTTTTTGTACACCCGGACAGGTGTTCTGCGAAGCGAGGGCATCCTTCGCAAGGTCAGATGGCATTGGAAGTTCAATCTTCTTTCTATAGGCGAGAGACGCCAGGAATCTCAGCTCGGCGGCCACGCCCAAGTGTGCTCGGCAGCCTTGAACTCTGCACGGGCTTCCAGCTCCATTCTAGAATTAATCAGCACCTGTTGGAAACTTGTTTTCCCCCTAAGGTTATACATTTTCCGGTTAGCGACTTGCTTACCTTTTATGAAGAGGCATGATTTAACCCTGTTTTATTGTAATTGCGATGGTAGTAAGAATGAATAGGTGTATGTAGTCACGCTTTGTAGTAACATGAGGCTTAAACGTGCCAACATTTTGGAAGGGTTACCTGAGTGGATGCAGTAGTTCACGAGAGAGAACCACTGACTTGGGTAAAGTGGGAACACTGTCGCCTAAGATGGTCTATTAGAAGAAAATCCCCATGGAGCACAATGGAGCTTAAGGGTTATTTGCAACCCTTCAGAGTAAATTTACTTGTACTTTCCTGTCAGTGAAGACCATTAAGTACAGTGGGATTTATACACGACAGATCATTTAGGATTGTGTTTTGGATGGCTTCTCCCAGTAACACTGGGAGATCATCTTACCACTGTGATGAGAGATGCTCATTTCTTTAGAATTACAAATCGAAACTCCTCATTGTAGAGCAGAAGTGGTAGCTTCCTCGCCATTCATTGAAAGGATAAACAGATGGCTCTTGTGAGATACTGTTTGGAATATTGCCGTATGTTATGTGATACGTGCTACATAATGAGTGTTATGTAAGCATGAAGAACAATGGAGAATCTATTTGCATTTTAAAGACTAACACATGTATCATGACATGATTTTATGTGTCTGCAGTGTAGCCCACAAAAGCTTGTGCCGTAATACATGCATTAGTCTTCAAGATGCCAGTCTCCTCATTTTTGCTGCTATGGACTAACACAGTTTATCTTTCTACAAAATGTGTACCTTGTGAACACCCTCAGAGAGCGCTGAGGGCTGCACTGTAGGAACTTGCCAGGAAGAAAGATTGTGGCAAGTTGCTTAGCAAACTGCTTAGCCTTATGGCTTATGGGCCAGGATAAAATCTAATAAATAAATAAATAAATAATGCATACTCTCTTCCTCCTGTTGCATTTTGTCATTTGAAACACCAGGGGCTCCATCTTGTATGTTTGAGCTCACTGAACATTTTTGCCTTGGACTTTTAGCGGATTTGCCTCTATTTCTCTGATCAGAGTGAGCCTGGAATTAGACCACACCTGTGTTCATGGCACCTCCCATATGCTGCTGTAAATGAATGTGAACAAGTAGAAGTATTACTCCTATATAAATGTTTGGTCTGTTGCTGATTCTCTGTTAAGTGCTTAAGGATCTATGTTATTGATGCTGTTTCAGGTGCTGAGGAGTGCCTGTAAAATTAAAGCTACATATCAACCAATAAGTTAAGTAGCTAGGCTTTGCTGTCATCCCATATAACTCTGAATTTTGTACTTTTTGCTTCAGGCACGCTGGACAATGTGCAAGAACTGGAGTGGTGGCCTTGCTTTGAAATGGTGGTGGTGAGCAATCCACCATTGGTGTTAACCTTGAATTGAAGTTCTTCTCCTAATGCCTAGTAATAGCTGATTTTCAGAAAAATAATTTTCATGAAAATTGAGTGTGTGGGGAGGTGTGGGGGTGTGCATAAGTAATGTCTTGTGGCATTTTTAAGCAGAGTGTTTCACATATTTTCACTTGTCATGTAACTTCATTCTCTGTGAAAGTTTAAAGCAGACAACATAGTGCCTTCTCTAGCAGCAGGTCATACAAGTTGAGAATTAAAGGTAGCTTATGAGGTCACCTGAATCTATCATAGAATAGTAGAGTTGGAAGGGGCCATGAAGGCCATCGAGTCCAATCCCCTGCTGTTGCAGGACACCAGGTTACACCCTCCCACTCAAATGACTGCCCAGTTTCTCCTTGAATGTCTCTACTGTGGGAAAGCCCATCACCTCTCTAGGCAACTGGTTCCACTGCTATATTGCTCTATATTGCTCTATCATATCTTTAATCTTCCTAGTCAAACTCATTTTCTTTCAAGCTTTCTACCAATGTGGCTTTCACAGTTTACTTGACTGCAGTAGCCAAATATCTTCGATCCAGATGTCTTTAACTGTTTTCTTTTTAGCACTGATGGATTTTAGTTCATTTCTTTAGAAAATAAGTGACATCCCATCACTGGGTCACTTTAGAACAGGTTCTGGCAAACTGGTTTCCCTGCCTTCCACTGTGTAAAATACAGCATGATGATGGGATCTCTTTGATACTTGGCCACCTGTAGGAGCCAAACATGTGAAGGTTGCTGTCATTGCTGTGTTTTTTGCTTGATTTCCCTCCACAAATTATAATAATCATAAATGAGATGGGCCAATGGAACAATCAATTTTGGGAAGCCTGCTCATTGCAAGTCACTTGGCAAAGAAACTTTCTTCACTGCATTTGTACGATATTACGTGTTACAAGCAGTGCAATCTAATACCTTTCTCAAAGGAAGCCCGATTTAGTTCAACAGAACTGTTTATAGGATTGTACTTAAATTAGTTCAGATCATATGTGCTACACTTTGCAATCTTGTAATTGCTATTTATATTTTTGTGTTGCTCTGTTAAGGATGTTTTGGCCTTTGAGGACTTGCTGGCTTTCTTTCTTTCTTAACCTCCCACCCCATTGGTGGCTGTTAACTTATCTCAAGAATTCTGGGAAGCTTTTGTAGAGGAAAGGAAGACTGACTAGAACATGAGCTGTTAACAACCATGTGTCCACTGCTAAATGTGCACATGCATTCTGGAGCTCAATGCCCTACTGCAGCTTCTGTGTAGACTAAGCACATGGATTTGCTTTATTCTTTATGACTTGCTTCCTCAGATGTCTAGACTGTGTGGGTCACAAAAAGCTATGGATGGTCCTGAAAGAAATGGCTGTGCCTCATTGATTGTCCTAATGCATAAACTGTATCACAGACAAGAAGCTATTGTGAAGACAGAATATGGAGAAACAGAATTACTTTCTATAGGGAAAAGTGTCAGACAAGGGTGTATTTTACCTTCCAGTTTGTTCAGTCTGTACACAAAGCTGGATTAGGGTCAGAGAAAGGATTGAAAATTGGCAAAGGTACATCAATAATGTAAGATATGCAGATGCTACTGTATGACAGGCAGAAAGCAGCAATGAACTGAAATTCTCATGAAAGCAAAAGAAGAAAATGTAAAAGCAGGACTGCAAATGAACATTACAAAAACAAAAACATGATTACAGAAGAATTATATAACTTCCTTGTCAACAGTAAAGAAGTTGACTTTATGAAAGATTTTGCACACCTTTGCTCACACATCAATTCAAAACCAGATTGCAGCCAAGAAATTAGAACTGAGATTTGGAAATGCAGCAATGAAGTAACTAGAAAAGATCATTGGATATAAGAATGTTTCACTAGATCCCAAGGCCAAGAATATCCATGATATTTTATTCTTGATCATTATGCCTGTGTGTGAAAGCTGGACAGTGAAGAAAGCGGACAGGAAGAAATTTGATGCAGTTGAAACATGTGCTGGAGGAGAACTTTGCAAATACCCTGGATGGACAAACAAGTGGATCCTAGATCAAATCAAGCCAAAACTTTCTCTGAAAGCAAAAACAATGCAACCGAAGCTGTCATACCTCGTGAGGCACAACACAAGAAAACAAGATTCATCGGAGAAGACAATTGTGCTAGGGAAAGC